TTTATCATTTATCCTATCATGTTTATCATTTATCTCATCATGTTTAGTATTTATCCTATCATGTTTATCATTTATCCTATCATGTTTAGTATTTATCCTATCATGTTTATCATTTATCCTATCATGTTTATTATTTATCCTATCATGTTTATCATTTATCCTATCATGTTTATCATTTATACTATCATGTTTATTATTTATCCTATTATGTTTATCATTTATCCTATCATGTTTATCATTTATCCTATCATGTTTATTATTTATCCTGTCATGTTTATCATTTATCCTATTTTCTTTATCATTTATCCTATCATGTTTATCATTTATCTCATCATGTTTATTATTTATCCTATCATGTTTATCATTTATCCTATCATGTTTAGTATTTATCAGATACAGGTTAAACACATCCTTTCATGACAATCTATTCTATAATGTTGTTCATTTATTCTATCATGTTTAATTTATCCTTTTATGTACGTTTATCAGTTATACTGTCATGCTTAGTATTTATGATATTCTTTCATGTTTAGCATTTCTCCTACGGTTATTTTGAAAAAATGGTTTGAATGTATTAGCTATACAATACACCAGCTCAAATACTTTCAATTTTTATATTTATTAGAATGATAAAACAAAACTCAGAAGTCAAGAAATAATTTTACCCGCTTCAAATTATAATTTTCTAATCTTTGCAACCTATTGGTGTCTACCTTTGCTATTTCAAACTTTAATTACTTAACCCAGTTGAATTCATACTTTGAAATTCTTAAAGTCTATACCATCAGGTTGCAAAGATAAGGAAAAAGAAGCTTGAGTTTAAGGCGAGTAATCAGCTTTATTCTAATAAGAGGATAATAATAAATATATTAAAACATTTATAAAAATGATCATAATGATAATAATATCAAAAATAATTGCTAAAATGAGTTTTGCTTATTTCAGGCTCTTCTGCGGGGTAGCTTACGACAGCTGAGGGCCTTTTCCTTTATTCTTTTAGGGACACAGTTAGTCATTTATTTTACTTTTAGGGACACAGTTAGTCATTTAGTTTACTTTTAGAAACACAGTTAGTCATTAAGTTTACTTTTAGGAACACAGTTAGTTATTTAGTTTACTTTTAGGGACACAGTTAGTCATTTAATTTACTTTTGGGACACAGTTAGTCATTTAGTATACTTTTAGGAACACCGTTAGTCATTTAGTTAACTTTTAGGGAAACAGTTAGTTGTTTAGTTTACTTTTAGGAACACAGTTAGTCATTTAGTTTACTTTTTTTGAACACAGTTAGTCATTTAGTTTACTTTTAGGGACACAGTTAGTCATTTAGTTTACTTTTAGGAACTCAGTTATTCATTTAGTTTACTTTTAGGAATACAGTTATTCATTAAGTTTACTTTTAGGGACACAGATAGTTATTTAGTTTACTTTTAGGGACACGGTTAGTCATTTAGTTTACTTTTAGGGATACAGTTATTCATTAAGTTTACTTTTAGGGACACAGTTAGTTATTTAGTTTACTTTTAGGAACACAGTTAACTTGTAGGGACACAGTTAGTCATTTAGTTTACTGTTATGAACACAGTTAGTCATTTAGTTTACTTTTAGGGACACTGTTAGTCATTTAGTTTACGTTTAGGAACACAGTTAGTTATTTAGTTTACTTTTAGGGACACAATTAGTCATTTTGTTTACTTTTAGGGTCACAGTTAATCATTTAGTTTACTTTTAGGGACACGGTTAGTCATTTAGTTTACTTTTAGGGACACAATTAGTCATTTAGTTTGCATTTAGGAACACAGTTAGTTATTTAGTTTACTTTTAGGAACAAAGTTAGTCATTTAGTTTACTTTTAGGGACACCGTTAGTCATTTAATTTACTTTTAGGAACACAGTTAGTAATTTAGTTTACTTTTAGGAACACAGTTAGTTATTTAGTTCACTTTTAGGAACAAAGTAAACTTTTAGAGAAACAGTTAGTTATTTAGTTTACTTTTAGGAACACAGTTAGTCATTTAGTTTACTTTCAGGAACACAGTTAGTCATTTAGTTTACGTTTAGGAACACAGTTAACTTTTAGGGACACAGTTAGTCATAAATTTGTCATTTCTTGTGTGTGTTCCCTGTATTAATGCTTTTATCTGTTGTCCAGCTGTTGAACGGTATATGAACCAGGTGGATCAAGATCTATACAAAACTATGTTTAGCTCGCCGGTCAGTGCCAGCTTTTAACCTGCTGTGGGTCAACATGATAAACCAGGGATATGCAGGGGGTTCCAGAAAAAGGATGAACAGATTTTTATTAACCTTTTCTACATAAAAAAGTTGCATAGTTTCTAGTTCCACCATACAAATTTTTACATTTCATGGGGACTTTTTTTACACTTATTTTCCGCAGTCTTGTTTCTTTTCACCCTTTTTTTTGGACCCCCTGTGCCCTGTAAATGGTATTTTGGACCCCCTGTGCCCTGTAAATGGTATTTTTGGACCCCCTATGCCCTGTAAATGGTATTTTTGGACCCCTGTGCCCTGTAAATGGTATTTTTGGACCCCCTGTGCCCTGTAAATGGTAATTTGACCCCCTGTGCCCTGTAAATGGTATTTTTGAACCCTCTGTGCCCTGTAAATGGTGTTTTTGGACCCCCTGTGCCCTGTAAATGGCATTTTTGACCCCCAGTGCCTTGTAAATGGTATTTTTGAACCCTCTGTGCCCTGTAAATGGTATTTTGGACCCCCTGTGCTCTGTAAACGGTATTTTTGACCCCCTGTGCCCTGTAAATGGTATTTTTGAACCCCCTGTGCCCTGTAAATGGTATTTTTGGACCCCCTGTGCCCTGCAAATGGTATTTTTGGACCCCCTGAGCAAAAAAAATTGGTTTTTTTAACTTTTAAAGTTTTGGACTTTTAAAAGGTTCCATAAAATTCTGAGATTAACAAATTGAAAATAATAACAATTAAAACACTTAACAATTTAAAGTATCTAATTTTGTATTACAATTTAAAGTATCTATTTTCGTATCACAATTTAAAGTATCTAATTTCGTATCACAATTTAAAGTATCTAATTTTGTATCACAATTTAAAGTATCTAATTTTGTATCACAATTTAAAGTATCTAATTTTGTATCACAATTTAAAGTATCTAACTTTTTATCACAATCTAAAGTATCTAATTTTGTATCACAATTTAAAGTATCTAATTTTAAATTGAATTGCTGGTTTTTGCAGAGAATCCTGAATTCAAGGAAAAATACTATGAACTACGAACAGTCGTCTTTGAATTCTTTGCTTTTGTGGATAGTTCTGTAAAAAAATAAATTGGCTTATTGATTAAGTATTTTGTTAATTTTGATGATTCTTATATTTCAGTTGTGTGTTTTGTACATAACAGTATGCATCTGTACAAGCCTAGGAATGTTCATACCAGCCTTGATGTTTCAACAAGGATTCTACTTTAACGTTTATTCATTTGCTATCTGTGAACCTTACTTTGTTTCACTAAGGTAAGTATATTGAATTGTATTGCATTGTGCTGCATTGTACTGCGTTGTACAACATTTTACTGCGTTGTACAACATTTTATTGCGTTGTACAACATTTTATTGCGTTGTACAACATTGTACTAAATTGTACTAAACTGTATTGAAATGTAATACATTGTACAACATTGTGATAAAATGTAATTTTTATCTTTATCATTAAAATATGAAACAATTTTATTATTGCAGAATCATTACAGTTTTTATCTATTTAATTATTCTATTTTTTTTTAATATTATGTTATTTTCTCTATTTGAAAAGTACAATAATTTCTTAATTGTTTCTACTGAAGTTTGTTCCAACAACAATGAAAATTGAAAATATCATACATATTTCATCTCTTCTGCAATCAAAGTTTTATAAATTAAAGTGCCCAGCGTTGTCCGTGAAATTTCGAAGTTTGAATAGAAATAGATTTTAAAAATTGTTTTTATCCCATTCTGAGGAGAATTATGAACCTTGTTCATCCCTTCGAATTTATTCGCAGATTTCTTTAAATTCTTCCAATGTTGTCTTTTCAATAATAATTCTAGAAAATCTGCAGAAAATCTTTGCGAATAATGAGAAACCAGAATAATGAGAAAATAGAAAATAATAATTGAACAAGATTACTTATTTTTGATGATAAGATTAATTTTTATTTTCTCAACCTGTTCCTAAACAACTATGATAAGTTTACTGTAAAATTTTGTTTACATTTTTTGTCGTCGTTATTTAATAATTAAAGAATAACAATTCTGAAAATGTATCCACCCAAATGTACGATTTTTAACGTCGACTTTGCGCTAAAACTCAGGATTTAAAGATCTTTAAAAAGTTTTATGTGTCCAAATGAATCCTAAAGAATTTGTCCACAACACTGCATACTCAGTTCAACTACCCTATATAGCCGGTCTGTCCCTTTAAAAAAGTCTCGAAAACAATTGGAAAAGTAAATTCCCGGTAAAGTTGGTAGTTCTTGGTAAATCCTCGCTTATAGTAAATAAATAGTTATATTTGAAAAACTAATTTTAATTGTTTAGCCTATGATGCCACGGGTTACCCATATGGGTTTCCTCAAAAAATTCAGGCGATTTTGTCCAGTCGTCTGGCCAGCTATAGCTATCATATATTTATATAAACAAATGTATATAAATATGAGTTAATAGCTATATTATATAGATTATTTGCTTTCTAGAATGTTGGTGCTGACGTCATGTGTTTACTATTTCCCCGCAACAATGATCGTTATGTACTGCTACGGATCAATATTTCACTCTCAGGCAGAAATAATTAAAATAAAAAAAGATTATCAAAAATAGAATTTCTGAAATGGAATCATTGCTAAGAACTCATAAATGTCTTATTCCTATATCTTTTCAACTTGATAGAGTACACCTTTGATATTTCAAATTTCTGTTATCTAATCTAACATAACTCATCAAAGGTCTGCTAATTTAGACTTTAATCATTCAAATAACAAATCTTTAAACTAAATGGGAAGTTTTTTAAAGGGAAAGTCTACTAGAAGTCAAGTGCAAACCTTTTACAGAGTAATAAACCTATTTCTTTAAATTAGATTAAAAATGAAAAGTATCATCTTTTTGAATTATGAAAAATATGAATATTGCCCTTTTCCTTGCGCGTCTCTGCTACAAATTTTTTTAACAATTTATTTTAAATTTAACATTTTTTAACAAAATTAGAAAAGAGCAGTGAATTTTGTATCTTTTTTTTATCTGCTCGTACATCTGTTTTCTGTTCATCTCTTCTCTTTTACCCCCCCCCCCCTATACACCCCTAGCTAAATTTTTTCTAGTTTGCCATTTTCTCTCTCTCACACTGTATCTCTCATAGGACTCACAGAAGCGTCGAGCCAGAGCCAGTTGTTGCTACTCTGAAAGCTAGATGATACTGAGTCTCTGCTCTGCTACAAATAAAGTAGATAAAAGAAAAAAAATTTGGCATAAACTCAAATTTTAATCCCTAAATTATTGTGGAACCCAATTTCGTAGATCTTTGATATTTCAGGCTATGAATCATGTTAGATCCAAAAGTCGAAGTTTGAAATATCCTTCTTATTTTTCATCGTTTTTTAACAATTTTCTTCAAATGAAGGTACACTTGAAATTTAGCAAACAGTCTCTTTATATAAAAAAGTAAGTTTTGTCACATTTTGTGAAGGGTTTCAGAAAGAAAACACAAATGTTTACGTTTTTGATGCAAAAGATGAAAGCCATTTTTTGACTTGTATTTTGAAATTTTTATTATGCTGTCATTCCCATTTGCATAAGACCTTTTGAAGTTTTAAACATGAAGGAAAGTAGTAATAAGAAAAATATTATCCCTTCTGTGCAGTTTTCGAAAAATATATAAATCATTGTAGCATTTTTATTTTCTGATGTAGAAATTGAAGATGAAAAATATGGATGCTCTGAGAGCAACTTTACCCATGCTAATCGGAGCATCAGTAGCTAGTCGTCCCTTACAGGTAATAGCTTAATACTTATCAGAGTAATAAAAGCTAGTCGTCCCTTACAGGTAATAGCTTAATACTTATCAGAGTAATAAAAGCTAGTCTTCCCTTACAGGTAATAGTTTAATACTTATCAGAGTAATAAAAGCTAGTCTTCCCTTACAGGTAATAGCTTAATACTTATCAGAGTAATAAAAGCTAGTTGTCCCTTACAGGTAATAGCTTAATACTTATCAGAGTAATAAAAGCTAGTCTTCCCTTACAGGTAATAGTTTAATACTTATCAGAGTAATAAAAGCTAGTCTTCCCTTACAGGTAATAGCTTAATACTTATCAGAGTAATAAAAGCTAGTTGTCCCTTACAGGTAATAGCTTAATACTTATCAGAGTAATAAAAGCTAGCCGTCCCTTACAGGTAATATCTTAATACTTATCAGAGTAATAAAAGCTAGTCGTCCCTTACAGGTAATAGCTTAATACTTATCAGAGTAATAAAAGCTAGTCGTCCCTTACAGATAATAGCTTAATACTTATCAGAGTAATAAAAGCTAGTTGTTATTTGCAGTTGATATTTTTTATATTGATTTATTGAGAATATCAATAACTAGTCAACTCTTTAATAGGTAATAGCTTTTATATCAATATTGATTAGAATATTCAATAGCTAGTCGTCCTTCACAGATGGTAGCTTTTAGATTCATACGTATTATAGAGGATCAATAGCTTGTCGTCCTTCGCAGATGACAGCTTTTATATCAATACTTATCACAGAATCAGTAAATCAATATGATTAGAGGATCGATAGCTAGTTGTCCTTTGCAGATGATAGCTTTTATATCAATATTTATCAGAGAATCAGTAAACCAATAGGATTAGAGGATCAATAGCTAGTTGTCCTTTGAAGATGACAGCTTTTATGTCAATACTTATCAGAGAATCAGTAAATCAATACTGATTAGAGGATCAATAGCTAGTTGTCCATTGCAGATGACAGCTTTTATATCAATACTTATCAGAGTATCAGTAAATAAATATTCAATACTGATTAGAGGATCAATAGCTAGTTGTCCTTTGAAGATGACAGTTTTTATATCAATACTTATCAGAGATTCAGTAAATCAAACTGATTAGAGGATGAATACCTATGGTTTCTTTATTATAGTTGATAGATTGTATCAATGGTAAAAGTACAGGGTTAAAAATGTAGCTAATGGCAACTATAAGATTAAATGCAATTCATAATTTTTTTTTTTTTTGAACCTACACCAAACTCAAGTTGTCTGCAAAATCTGTCATAGCTCTAAACCAAACTCAAGTTGTCTGCAAAATCTGTCTATATAGCTCTAAACCAAACTCAAGTTGTCTGCAAAATCTGTCATAGCTCTAAACCAAACTCAAGTTGTCTGCAAAATCTGTCTATATAGCTCTAAACCAAACTCAAGTTGTCTGCACAATCTGTCATAGCTCTAAACCAAACTCAAGTTGTCTACAAAATCTGTCTATATAGCTCTAAACCAAACTCAAGTTGTCTGCAAAATCTGTCTATATAGCTTTAAACCAAACTCAAGTTGTCTACAAAATCTGTCTATATAGCTCTAAACCAAACTCAAGTTGTCTGCAAAATCTGTCTATATAGCTTTAAACCAAACTCAAGTTGTCTGCAAAATCTGTCATAGCTTTAAACCAAACTCAAGTTGTCTACAAAATCTGTCTATATAGCTCTAAACCAAACTCAAGTTGTCTGCAAAATCTGTCTATATAGCTTTAAACCAAACTCAAGTTGTCTACAATATTCCTTCTACAGGGGAGGGGGTGTAAATTTAACCCCCCCCCCATTTGTAGTTTTTTTATAACCCAAAAAGTATTGGTCTGAGGCTTTCCTATTCTGAATTTTCCTAATTACTTACTCTTTATCCTTTCCTTAGGTATAAATGCACGTTTTTGTATACTATCCATGCCTTAGTCCTCAGGCACACTTCCTGAATGACAACTTTTCCCTGTAACAAATTAAATTTTTGTTTTGACCCACTTTTAGTTTTTAACTATTTGGAAAGTGGATTGCAAATTTTTAAAAAAAATATGCAAATTATTTGCAAACACTAAGGGATAGGGTAAAATCTTATCTAAAATTATCAGAATCATAAACTGTCACGTTTTTATTTTCAAGAGGAAGGTCTCTAGGAATCTTTTCGGACTGTCTGGTAGTCTTAAATGAAAAAAGAAAATAATTNTCTATATTATTTAAACTAAAAAAAATTGGAAAGGGTTAACACCATGGGCTGGGAAAGAATTAATCTGCTCCCCACCAATCTATTTAATCTCTTTCTGCGCCCCAGGATAATTTTTGCAAATAATAAAGATAATTCAATACAACATTTTAAACAGAACAAAAATGTGGAAGATATCGTCGTTTTCCTGACTCCAAAAGTGTTTGATTCTGATAATTTCTTCATTACAATAATGCAAAAATGCGCAAATCACTTTTACAGAGAATCCTCAAATAAAAAGAAACAACACAGAAAAAGAAACAAAAACATTGATATCTTAAAATTCATATTTGATCAGACAAAGCTTTTAAGGGTACTGTTGTGAATCAGGCATCGTCCTATTTGAATGCAGGGTCCCTTAAAATTACACTTACAGTCCTTTAAAACAATTAATATTGCCAAGACTCAAGATGATAAAAGGATAATGCGGGGCAAAATTAATGTTTTATAATCGGGTTCGCCCCCCACAATATGTATTGGAATTAATTCCCCTTTTTAACAAATTGGACGCCTGCAAAATTTATCCTGTGTATTTCATTGGTTTCAACATCTATTATTCAATCCATTTTTATAATTTTTTTCTGTCTCGCATGTTAATTTTTAGTTTGATCGGGTTTACCACACTATTATTTTTTTTTACATATTTTTCTTTTCTTAATTTCAAAATTAACAATTAATATGCATGTTTTAAATATTGGGCACAGATGATACATAAATATTCAATTATACTTCTTCTTATTATTATCTTATTTTCCTTTTCTTCTTTTGTTGACTGTCCCTTTAAGCAATCTTCTTCAGCTCAGATCTGTGTATATACGATTAACTAGCTCGTAATAAACTAAATCGTAAAAACCTTGCAGGGTGCAAGGTTTTTCAGTCATCTAAACTCCGAGGTCAGCATTATTGCGGTTTTGACTAAACAAGACATGTGTACGAATTCTAAGTATTTATTCCACATTATTTTAAAAATTGAAAAGGGGATCTCCAATCGCTAACGGTTAAAGGATGATAGTATAAACGTAGCATATTGAGAAAGCTCAGTATGAGATGTTATTTGTAGTTTTGTGTATTTTTTCTATTTGAAAATTTGAAAGGAAACTAGAATTAATATCAAATATAAATGTTGAAGAAACATTTTCTAATTCAATTTATGAACTGTTTGAAAAAGTTCTAGTTAGAGTTTACAGTTCTAGAAAATACATTTCAAAGTTTATAAAGTTAAAATTAGTTTCTTGAAGAAATAAGCAAGATTTCACACAATTCAATNGAATCGAACAATATTTTTACGTTTTTAAACATAAATACTTTTAAGATAGACCCGCGTAAAATAAGACAAATAAATGCTTTACTGTTTTAAGTATTGGGTAAAGTTTCAAACTGTAATTGAAATTTCACATAAAGATAATGTACGCGTAATTTCAAGTGTCCGTCCATGCAAACATGGCAATGTCCGAATCACAAAGTACCATTGAAACCCTGGTCTCATCAATAATGTTGAAAATGTTTTTCTAGATTTTTCAGTTTTTAATTCTGATAATTCCTACTTATTTCCCTGCAGAAGAAATGCTCAATTCAAAATTGAAAATAATCATCATAAAATGATATACATTAATATCTTTTAATTCTCAAAAAGAAATAAACAAAGGCAAAAATAATAATAATAATGTAAATACCTATATTTTTTTTCTAAATTCTAAATTCTAAATAGAAATTCAATATATGTCAATTACTTAAACCATGATCGTTTATTTCTGTTTCTATTTTCTTGTCTAAAACAAGATACAAAACTTTAATCATTTTCATAGCAAATTCCCAAAGATTAGAGAATATTAAAAAAAGTGAAATTTAGTCGACCGCCATTTTGTTGTACTGCAGTACCGTACTACAAGCGTACTTCACTTTACAAAAGACGGTTTAACAACAAAGAGAATAGAATATATATTAGAGGGGAATTTACTAGAAAAAAGTGTAAAACGGCCATTTTGTTGTTCTGTTTCAATATTGCAGGTGTACTTCACATATTTGTGCTATATAACCTTTTTGGCCTTGGAATATCATTTTATAGAAAATCTAAAATTATTGTTAAAAGAAAACCAAATTATGAAATAGGCTGGTTTCATAATTGACCAATGATCCTTTCACATAGACTCTATGCCTTTCACTTCACAAACGATGATTTTCCGTTATAACTATAAATTAAATGATGGTTTTTATTCACCTAATACATTATAAAGTTTATTTAACAGCTTTAAAAATTTCGAAATTGAAATGAATAAACTATAGGGAACATAATGCATATAATTTGTGAACATTTACATGATTTGTACACTTTGAACTCTCTTTCAGGCTGAAAGGGACTGAAAAAATTCATACCGAGAGATTCTTTAAATTCCTCTCTAATATATATTCTATTCTCTATGTTAAACCACTTAATTAAAAAAAAACTTCTAATATACCATAATACATAATTTAAAGTTAATTTAACAACTAGAAAAAAGAACTTGTAACGGATTGCGAACTCAGTCCATGGATATTACTGTATTATATTATTGTGATGTACTGCATGTAATTTGCACATTTTAAACTCTTTTTTAGATTTAAAATGTCCTACCGAAGGAAAATTCTCATCTTTCCTCTTTTTAATATTCTCTACTGCCGAATTTCATTTGAACTTTAAGTTTGAAATCTTTTTGATGTCCCGTCGGAAATAAACATTTATAGATAGATACAAACCTGAAGCAATTTGTT